ACGACTCACTGATCAGCAAAACAAGCAGAAAGCCAAAACCGAATTTCTTCGCATGATTTTCCTTCTCTCTGCTCTTTTGCATATCTAACGGCTAGCATGCCGTTATTATGATACTTGTGGTAAAAACGGACTGACAAACACCCTCCCTGAATTTTGTTCGCGGACGTTACAAACTGCTACTGAAATATCTGAAAATAGTCAGCCAAAAACGGAGATACTATGGTATCGATACTAGCAGCGACACCACGTTCAATGTTGGCAAATTTTGGAAATGTAAACTATTAGCTTTGTTAAAAGCATACTTTGAAATAAGAAGAAGAGTTATGATATACCAGGCTATCATAATTCGCAGAATTACATTCAGAACAAGTCAGAAGTTCAAGCAAGCAGAATGGAAAGATTACCGAAATGACAATGAAAACACCAACTCTGTTCGATCTATCCTGTCTTTTTAAAAACATAGAAATTATGTAGAAAAATCTCAGACGATTAAAGGTGCGGTTTCAGACAGGTTTCAGTAAAAACCATCAATAAAAATTCAGTACTAATTGAGGTTAGATAAGTTTGTTTGTAAGCTTTGATAAATAATAGATAATGGGCCTAAGGACATGCTCAGTCTTTTGTAGTTGCAGAGATTTTATTTCGGGATTTGTTCTCGGACTTAGGCTGAAGATTAACTGTGGGTACGAGAATTTGATAAGATGATATAGCTCTATGTTGAGCTATTAACAATTTGAAGATGCTAACCCAGCTTAGTTTAACCCATAGAATTTTTTCATGAGGTTTCCCTTGAAGCCTAAAGACAAATATAGACTTCCTAGGTGGAACATTGAGATTGCGTTATTTTGGATTGGGGAAAAAATAGACATTGAATCTCTACTTGAATGAATGAGTTAGAGAGAACGATGCTTTTTCATTTTGCTCTCTTCGAGATTTAGGCGGATCAGAGTAAGTAAGAGACGGGATTTCTGCTGAGATAACTGAGACGTAGTAGTTTACAACGCTCTCTGACTCTAGCGGTCTTATTGGGAATTTAAGTAACAATTGCGTTATTATTAATAATAGGTATACCAAGATTTGGATTTTTCCCCACCGAGCTGATTTGTTAAGTTTTTCTTTGGTGTCGGTACGGGCGGCCACGCATCGCCAACAGAAGATTTGGCGACGTAAGGTCGACTAACTCATCTGAGGAAGAAATTTCAAATGGCTCAAATGCAATTTCAGGCAAGATTCCCTTCGTTTGGAGAAAGAGACGACAAATGTCAATGTCCCTCTTCCTACAGTGAGGAAATGACCACCGCAGGCTTTCGGAAGGGTCCACAACGACATCCGCAATACTGCCAACGACTCCAGGACATTTTGTATGAGTAGGGCCGTCACATAACCAACAGGTGACATGTCTGTCACTTAAACTAGCTTTGGCAAGAGAAGGTGTGTATAAACACTTCACATCGGAAACGATGATGCTCGAAAAAACCGCAATCAAACGAGCAACGTCCCAAACTACCTAATTTAACAAGTGAAAGGTTGCCACGTACAGCACTGGTAAGCAATTTACACAACTGCCAGCAGGAGATGAAATGCAATCAAATCAGAAAAGATCAAAAATGATCGCTTAGAAACCAAATCCTCTAAGTAGGTGTACAATTAACAGATGTATGATAACTGTTTACGATGTTAACACAGTAGCTACTATGTATGTTTCAAATGATAAATTGTTCCGGGGATTGCTAAACCACGTAGAGTGCAAAGCTCCAAGTTGTTATGAAGTTGAAGTTGGAACTATTGCAATGATTGCTGTCGCTATCACCTTGCTCATAATTTCTAGCGATTTTTAACAATTTGTGCTGCAATATAATTTATCCCTATGCAAAGCGTAAATATTGCTGTTTACGATCTTGATGCTATGTGGCCTGTAAAGCCTTTTGATGTTTCTGGATCTTTTTCGCTAAATTACGCTTCTGTTTATTGATATTTATGTAGCACACGGTAATTGTTTTAACACTCTTTGTAAATTATTTGCGAAAACAGTTGGCCAGAAATTTGGTACTTGAAACACAAAGTTAGTGTTGTTGTTGCTTTAATCACTGTTGTCGGTACAGCTGAGAGCTCTCGCGGTCCAAAAGTAGATTACCCGGTTTTTGCGCTCGCTTGAATTGTAAAGCACATCCATTTTTTCACCAATTCGTCACCTAACTCGTACTGTTTTTTTTTCAGTTTTTAGTGATTAGTTTGATTATTCGCTTTCCCTTAGCTTTCTTTGCAATGCGTGGTATATATTCAATAGGTTCGCCGTAGACTTATATTTCGAGGTACTTCATCTTTTTTCACTATCAATTATTGTGGTTAGGCAAGGCCTAACCTATACTCCTATATCCTATACTGTTTCACCTAGCATAGTTATTCATACATTTTATTATAAACTGCAACTAAGGACAAATTTTCATTATAAAATAATAAAAGTGTAGTCTCTTCGTCAAATGGCCGACTCTTCATGAGAACGCTTATATGGAATGGTATCCAAAAAAACTGATCCAAGTGATTAAAAATTGTTCTAGTTAAGTTTTATTATTCACAAAGTTTCTACCAAATATAAAGTCAATACCTTCAGGAGAGTACCAACACCACATACCACACAGGCACACTAACGGGCAGACATGACTTAATCAATTCCCTGAAGTTTACTGAATCTCTGCTTATAACTTTCCAACTTTTTTTTATGTCAAAGTACTATTATGAGTCATGTCTCATTATCAATCATTATATGTTCATGTTCTCCTTACAAAGGCCCTTTTGGTTGGAATGGTTACATGTAAGCGGTTTCAAAATATCTGCCTATCTGATCTATTTTTTTCACTGCAATTTAAAATGCGGAAATATTTGACGTTTTTGCAATTTTTTTTTACTAGGTAACTGTGTCAAGATAAGCCATTGTGGGGAGAGTGGTAGAAAAATTCGTCGCATCCAATCCCTTTTCTTTGTGGCCGTGTGCGAACGAAATTTCATTTAAATAATTTAAAAAAATTCAGGAAACCGGTTGGTATAATGCTAAATGGATTTAACTCATCCTCCAGGTTATTACATAGATCGGCACAAATTTATTATACCCACAATTGTAGGATATAAACCAATGATTGTCTTCCATCTCTATATTTTTTTCACCATAATCAAAATTGTTTTCAAAAAATTTGAAACTGCAACTCTCATTGTATTTAGTATTAGTTGTAAAGTCATAAAGTAAACATGTCTATGAGTTCGCGTAGGCATCAGTACGTATTATACGCTATTGAGTGTTTTGAACAGCCGGCAAATATATGTATATATTTATGTAGAAGTTTCGATTTTACCTTTTTATCCACCACAATTGTCGCCGAAACATGCCTAGCAGGTTGTACTCCGACGTCTGCCATTCGATATTTTATAAAGAGTAGTGTTTGTCAGCTCTTTTGGGCGGCGATTACGTATCTACAGGTTCAGAAGATTTATTGGGATTGAGATTTCCTCAAACAATGAGGAGACATTTAGATCGATTTGCTCGTTCTGGTTAACCATTCTGCGGAGATGCAAAGCAAGGTGTCAAATCATGGTTCATATCATGCAAGTCATGTTCTATAAACTCTTCAAAGTTGGTATTGATACATTTTGCAATGTACAATTTATCCATTTCTTTGTATTGCCTGAATATATGACTCACGCATCAGAAAATAAATAATCACATATCTTCAAAAACTATCTGTGAATATAAAAAAGTGTGAGAAACCTTTAAGAGACCTTTTCCTTGTTGAACCACAAAATTTGCGTTTATATCAGAATTAACTTTAAAAAGCTTTTTTAAAACTTGTAATGCCCAAGTTTTGCATTCATAGTAGAGGCACATACTTGACTCAACTCCTTTCCTCATCCTGTTCATTACACTCTACTTCACTATATATATTAGGGTGTATTACCCCAAATGACGAATGCGTGCTCTTCTTTGTGTAACTTGTTGCTCCGGCGATGTTCTTATTCTAAAATTTTGTTTTTCAAACTTGCTAGTTTCGCGAATAATCTTGAGCTTCGGTCGTCAACAAAATTATTCGTTTCACCGAGAAGAATGCAGAGAAATAGGATGGTTCACATATCATTCGACACTCCAATATCGATTTCTTTTAACTCATCCAAAGTGTCTTGAAGGTTTTTGGTTTGTTCAATTGCAAATTTTTCACAAACTTCTTAAATACCTTTACTTTCCTAGCTAGGTCTTTGCTTGATAGAGATTTGTAAATATTTCCCAGGCTTCATTTGCAGTTACGCATATTTCTGCACGGGTGAATTTTGTTGATTTCACGCTAAGTAACACATTTATCTTCTGCTTTCCTTTCACGTCGCACGTAAAAGATTACGTCATTTAGAAAAACATTTTTTAATGTTAGTTTTTTATTTATATATATCATTACGCATAAGATAATATATACAAGCTCTGAGTTCAATGGTAGTATCTAAAACAAAAAAAATTATTTTTATAATTTATTTATATGGTCGATCATTGCAAAATGAAAGAAACTAATTTTCTTACTAATCATAATTCCAGTTTTCGTTGTTCCGCCTTCTTTTATTAAAATAAGAATCTTAGATTTTGCTTTAACAATATTGAACTCATTTTATTTAGTCTTATTTTAGTTTTACGACGTTGCAATTCGGGAACATAAATACAGTCATATTTAGCTTTCAATGATTTAGCCTACCTAATATATGTTTCCGACAGTTCACTTGTTTGTATTTGCGGTAATAAGAATAATAAGACGCGGTTGAAACCAATATCCTTCTGAGCTCCTTATCACCCTAACGACCTAGTCATACCTCTCTTACGTTCAATATTTGCGACGTATGTACGCTTCATTTATCAATAAATGTTCTATGATCCGTTGGTTTATATGGACCGTACACATTTCACACTGGTCGAGTTATGATGTACTTGATAAAACATTTATAGATAAATTAATTTCTTTTTTAACTTTTAGGGTGACTCTGGCGGCCCTCTACTCTGTCCATACCCGGGTGAAAAGGATAAATGGTTTGTAGGTGGCATTGTCTCGTGGGGTATAAATTGTGCTAATCCCAAATTACCAGGTGTTTATGCGAATGTCGTAAAGTATGTACCTTGGATACTCGAGCAAATACAAAAGCATGCTAGGCCGCTAAATGACGAAAAAACTTCAAAGCATGACTTCCATCGCGGAGGGCCACATATAGCATTGAACATGGCGACGACGCCTGGAAATATCAAAACATTCCACAAAATACAAAATCAAAGTCCTATGAATGTCGATTACTATCACAGTGAGGAAATGAGCAACAAATAGAACGTAGAAAATTATCGCTAAAAAGGTTGTATATGCTATTTGTTGCCATTATCACTTATACAGTATGTAACAAACATAATAACAACAGTAAAATCAAAAAATTTGTCAAGTTCTAGAATTTATTTGAAACTATTGGAACTTTGCGAAGCACAAAGCATTGCATATTCATTCAATTGTACAGTTTAACAATTCTTTTTGGAAAGCGTTTAACGTTTAAGACAATAATTTGTTTTGTATAGAAAATTAAAAAAAAAGCAAAGCAAAATGTGTTTATCTGAGTCGTCTATTATTCACATATCTACATATTTATACAAATACGAAAAATTTTCTACGAAAGATTGGTGTGCGTATTTAAAAACACATTTATAGTGAAAGTCTTTAGCTAATGTTAAAGATGCTTTATTGTTTTGTTTAAAAAATCAAAGTAAAATAACAAATAACCAAAGTAATTAAAGGAGATATGCTGGACAATAAACATTTATGGAAACATAAAAGAAAGAAGACAATAATATCAACTAGCACTAATAAGAACTACTATTATTGTATATACACTTACATATATATAAACAAATAAATTAATCTAGAATTAAGAAAATCAATGTACTTTAACGTTGCTACTGAGAAAATTTTTAAAACCAGTGTTACGAATATTAAAAATTTAGACACAATTTGTTGAATGGATTCTTGTGTTTAACTTTGACAGGCTAACGAACTTTACTTTTCTACCTCTTTTTGCCTCTTTCCCCTCACCCGCGCTTTGGCAACCTTTTTCTATTCTATAATAGATATTTTTCTTAAAGTTATTTTAGAAATAGATTTTGCAGTCAAGAGAGAAATATTCTGTTATAAGCAGGCTTGTATGTATGCACACACTGCAGTAAATGCATGGGTTTCAGCTTTAAATAACTTTAAATGAAAATAAATATTAAAACTAAAGCTAAAACTAAAACGGCTAGAATATTAAACCTTTGTTCTTTTTAATTGACTTTAAAAGAACATCACGAATATATTTTAAAATTTATTAGATTTTCTGGTTTGCCGAACTTGAAAAATTATATATTAAAACATATATAAAAAAAAAAACAAGAAAAAAACTAATAATTGCGTTTTGTACTTTTGCCAGTTGTTTCAATTAATTTGATCTTCAAATTGCAGCTTTACTAGTTCGGATAATATAACTTCAACGCTTGTTTCGAGACAACGTAATTGGAATCGCCTTAGAAAATTTTCTATCTTTTCTCGATATACGAACCAATCACCTTTATCACCTTTATCGGCATTGATATCACATACCAGCAGCTGTTCTAAATTAAACTGAGCTTTATTTACAAATGGTCTGGAAAGCTCAAAGTGAAAGCGACTTCACGTTGTTTTGCTTTTTCGAATTTAAGGATCCAAAGTGATAAGATAGGTATACATAAACCAGCTTGAACAAACGATATCTCATAAGTCACAATGTATTTAATAGATGTTTATGAATCGCTTGCCTACATTTTTCTGTGAAAATTTGAAAAAGTCGTTTAATTTTTTCCAATAAGCTTTAGAAAGTACAAAACAAAGTTTATTTACAAAGAATGTTTTTTGGGACTATATTGAAAAAATAATTTAAAAAAGATGAAATAAATTTTTTCAACTTCCAATCAAAGGTCATGTGCTTTTTGTATTAATTTTTTGGAATTTTTTTAGAAAGAACATCTCACCCTCTCTCATATATACACGTTGACGTTGAGTTTTGTAAAACTTAACAACTAAACGCACGTTTCCATTCGCGAATGTCGAAAAAATTCGCGCAGTACTACTGTAGCTTTAAGATACCTATGAAACAGTAACTAAACAAGTGTTGTATACATGAATTTATATATACACATACCTAGACGCTAATGCATATTTCATGCACGTTTACTAGATATATATATTTAGAACAAATAGATATAAATCTTTATATGGAAAAGCAAGCCAATTAAAAAACATTATTACTCTATACAAATTCCATTAGTCAATTAATTACGCGTTTATATACACATAAAAAATGTTATGCTTTTTAAAACACGTTCTCAGTTAATATTTCCATCAATCGTGAAATGCTTAATTTGTGATGATAAGAAACGAATAAAGATGGACTTTACTGGCTTTCTTTACATTTTGCTACCATCCAGACAGATTAAAGCTTAAAATATTTTAATGATAGTAAGATTTTTATCGATATGAATACATTAGCTAAATATTAATAAAATTCTTGATGGTATATAGAGATTGAAGATAACGCACATAGCAAACTATCCTAAATGAAACAACTTATAACAAACCTACCTATTACATGTATTTGTATGTAGATTTAACCGTGACAATAAGAAGAATTAAAGGATAACATTTTTAAAAATCCGAAGAAAAATTGTTTTTATATGTGAAAAAAATAATGTCTATATGGCTATAAGTAGTTAATAAAGCTTTATACGAAAAGGAATGAAAAATAGAAAATAATATTTAAAAAAAGAAATTATATTAATGTTAGCCAAAATATATACCAAAGCGGTTGATTAAAGATAAAACAAAAAAAAACCAAACAGAAAGAAACTGTATATTGAAAAATAAGGCAGAAATAATGAAAAAAAAAATTATAATTTTGAAATAGATTTATTTTTATCACATCTGTTCCTTAAGCTTAAAATCCATTCAAAGAAAAATTGTTACAACTTCTATTTCCTTAGTTTTTTAGTTATCATTAATTACAAACAACGGAGGAAACAAAATCCATTCGCCTAAGAGAAAATTACAATTACTCATCACCTCAAGAATATATAAATATAGCGCTGGTAAACCGAGTGGAACGCTCGCTCGCACTTAATTTCTGAATAGTTGAGAACGACATTTATTTTCGACTCCCAACGTACCGAGCATGTCTACATTGTCTGTGGGCCTCATGTTCATCAACATCCGCTAAAGTCCAGAATTCTTTGAAAATATTGATTTACAAAACAACATTGGATTTTATATAAAAAAAATATTTTTACTGAAAACTCTCAAAAATTGGCTACAAATTCGGTTAAAATTAATCAGCCAAAAATTCCCCTCATTTGATAGAAGACGTTGCTATAAAGCAATAGTTGCAAATTAAAGCGCAAAATATGCGGTCGGTCAATGAAATTTAGCGAAAATATACTGGCGGAATGTTTACAGATAAATATTAAGTTAAAATTACGCTACAATAAATGATATTAACATTCCTGTGGTGTATTTTACATTTTTCGTGACATATTTCTATTTAGCTACAAGTATGAAACAGCTCGATCAAGGTTGATCGCACCTCCATCCTCTCGTGCATACTACCCGAAAGGACTATAATTTGTACCGCAACTCTCAATTATAAGCAAATGGGACTCTTTATCAGAATAGCATAAAAAAGTCAAAAAGTGCCCAGTTTTTGTTAGAATAATAATATTATTGAATCTATGGCCCAATTCTGAACACTAGAAATCTACCATTATTGTAAACAAAATTTCAAATTTCATTAAAAACCATTCGTTTAAAAAAGACAGAAAAATTAATGCGATTGGTGTGATAGTCTAGAAAGGTTTTACTTGGTAGTAAATTTTGAGAACATTTGCGCAGAATTTTCCAGCAGTTCTGCACTAAAGTTCATATTTGCTCTAATAGCATACGGTTCAGTATATAATTATACTTCTCGATTAACAAAGAAAATGGATGTATTAGTCATTTGAACTGCATTGCTGTGTTTTTAAGTGTATAACTTTGGATGCATGATATAGTTGGGTAATTGAAGATATAATAAAAATACGGCCATGGCCACACAAAGTTCCAAGTGATTAAATTATGTGTTTGTAGTTTTTTGAGGTTTTGTGCTTATTTGTCATAAGGCAAACAAAACAGAATATGTAGATCTACTTTGTACATCCCTCAAATGAATTAATTCCAAAATGAGTGCGGTAGGCACCGCGATCTCATGGATTAAGTTTTTCGTAATAAAACCAGCGATATGGGTATCGCATAAAAGGGAGTAGAATGTGACGAGCTAAGTGTGTTAATTCTAAACTAATTGTGGTAGATGCCACGTATTAGCGGATAATAGTTTTTTTAAAAATATTTTCGATACAAGTATCTAATGAAAAGAGTAGTAGGGTAGGATATTATAAAGTGTGTCGGACATTTTCTTGGACACTAAAATCTCCGTAAGTTTTCTTTGCAATCTAGTACCTAGAATGGTGACACTGTAGAGTTTTTATACCATACTCCGAAGAATCATCTCCTGGATCAGAATCAGAATCATCTCCTGAATCGGTCTGCCAACTAATACGAATACGATTAGCAAAATAATTTGCGATTTTTATATATTCGCAAGAGGTGTGTTTCCGGTTTCTCTTCAAGGCAAATGAAAAATTTTTTTGTTAATGTACAAAACAAAAAATTGTAGTTTACTGGTTAAAGTGAAGCATGAAATAACCGCTGTTAAATCAAGAAAGGTAAATATATGTTATAAAAAAAGGGGAAATAGAAATAAGAATCAAAATGCACTTGTTGATAAAGCACAAAGAAAGAAGTCTTACTGCCATATCTTTTTCAATGTGCATCCACGTTTATGAAAAAACAAAAAATAAGTAATTATATTACGGAAAGAAATATGGTAGAGGACAATAGCCTTTAATAAGAAAAGAAATTCCATTATAATGTAGTACATGTGCTCAGTTTATCAACCTAGCTTTGCGTTAAGCGAGGGTTTTGAAAAACAATGTAAATGGACATGTATAAGCACAGAAATATTAACGTAGCCACACAACAGCCCCAATCGTTCTATGCTTAAGTGTTTAAAGTAATAAAAGAAAGAAAAAGAGAAAGCAAAACAAACGAAAAGACAGAAAAAGATCTTAAAAGTTTTTTATTTCTATCGTACTCTTTCGTATGTTTGTTTTCTTTATTTATTCAGCTACAATCTTCCTCTTCTTCTGTTCTTCAGGGAATCAGCAACTGAAAAATGTGTAAAAAGGCGCAATGTGAACACAGAGTGCTTGGTTAGGGTTTTGGTAAAGTTGGGGTTAGATTTGGTATATGATGTAATTTATTATGTGGCATTTATTATTTAAGTGATTATTTCATTAAAGTTTTTTTTTTAATCCTGCGTGTTATACGCACGGCGTGTTTTTTTTATAGTTTCACGTGTATTACTACTTCGTCACGTAGGATAGAAGAATAGAACGAAAAATAAATTCCGATGGATAAGATGCAATGTAGTATATAAGCATAAAAAGTTATATGAAGGAATTGATGGGCGTGAGAGTAAAAAAGTGTAAAAGAGAGTAGGTTCATAAATTGGCTGTAAACGCTTGTATGTATTGACGCCATGATTCAAAATAAGAAAAAATTGCGACGTAAGCTGTTAAACTGCGAGAACGAAAAAGGTCGAGAATGCTGTGGTCACGAAGACCACAAATACTTAATTTGGAATGGTGAATAGAGATGGTAATATTCGGACAGACAAATAGGGTATAATTAGTAGATTGTAAGACTCCACATGTCTGGTTCCACATAAATGATATTTCGTAATGTTAATTTTGAATAGATGACCATTACATCTCAAGATAAGCCAAGGGGTTCGTGGAAATAAAGAGTATGAATGACGACCATAAGGTGAGTTACCCCATCGCGGTTGCCCAGAAAGAATTGAATGATTGTCCTCAGATCTGTTGAAATCGCGGCATGATCATTAAAATGAGATGGTCTAGAAGATGCGATTTTATCTGCAATGTTGTTGCCAAGAATGTCTATGTGCCGGCGCACCCAAGGAAAGCGAAAACAAAATGTATTAGACGTGAGGCTATAAAATAAGGAAGTGAGTTCTAATATGTAGGGATGAGTTTTACCTGAGAAGAACCATAGATGAGCAGAAGAGTAACCATGGAGTCTTTTTTTTGGGAAAGACGAAGCATTTGGTCTTATTGACTGAAACTGTGAGTTGAAGTAATTGAGGACGAGAGGAAACAAAGTCGAGGACGATTGCGAATTGCGTCCACACAAATCTGGATCAGAGTTGGAACTAAAAATGACAAAATCGTCAGCATAGCCCAGGCTTGAACTGTTTTTAGAAAGAGAAAGTTAATGTATAAATTAAAGCAAAGAGGATGCTAAATAGATCCCTAAGGAACACCTATATAAGGTGTCCTTTGTACAACAACATCATCATTGTTAATTAATACATTCTTATAGAAAAAGAGGTTATATAACAAATTGAAAAATTTGGTAGGGATATTCAAAGGGAAAAGAATAGATTTTAAGATTTTGATATTGATAGAAACAAATGCTGAGGTGGTGTCCAGAAAGCAGAGAATGAGAATGTGTTTCTTAGGAAAAGCTGAATTATATTGTTGACCACAAACCAGAGCTGTAACGTCTGAAACCAAATTGAAGATTGCTAGACGTGAATGTAACACTTTTTCGAAAATTTTTCTAAGGATGGAAACTAAGGCAATGCATCTGTAGGAATTAAGATTAGCTGGTGAGTTATTTTTTTTCGTTGAAATAAAGATTGGAAGTTGTACCAGGAAGAGGATATATAGT